ATTATTTTTAAATCGTCATATACGTCAGCAACCAGCATGTTAACCTGGCCCATACATACGTTACACTATATCTTCATGTCTTCTAAATTTAGGAATCATCCGAATCGCCTTTAACATTTATCAATAAACCCATCATAGTCGTTGTTGCTAATCATATTTGGGTTTATGGATTGGTTTATCATATTAGCAGCCTAAAATGCGAACATAGTTTAGATAATAAGATTAAAAATTTAGGTACTATTAACTGCACTAGTAAAATAACTAAATCCCTAGGTGGCTGTTGGCTAAACAAACGTTTAAAATCAAAACTCCGTAGCCTACTAGAATTAACACTAAACGAATCTTTCTGAATTAAAATTTATAATTAAATTAGGCGTCTCGGATTCTTTAACGTTACAAATTTCTGATAATTTCGAATCACCTAAAGCAACAATACCTATTTTTCCACTGACTAATCCTCATTCAACACTATAACTAGTTAAACATAATAGTTTCAGGATATCGTCATAAAGCATTGTCATGACTTGACAATCACGTAATATGATTGATAAAATTAATGAAACTATTAACAAAATCGGTCAGCGAATTGACTTATAATTATCACTAGTGTTGTTTTTCTTTTATCTTCATTCACTACAGATGATTACAGTAGGTTTCTCTATCAGTTGCTCATTCAGTAAATATCTCAAAACCTTGTCAGTCTAATTGATGGTTTAGCGACACAATCATGCATGCAAATAATCAGTATAAGCAGTCGAGCAAATCTCCTGCAAGCGGAAAACATCAATGTCGAATTTACCCCAACACTGACTAAGGCTCAAGCCTTTATCATAGACATGAGTTGGGAGTGTACTCTTCTTGGTTACAACTTGTGTTCTCCCTGATAATCACATGAGCATCACTAACTATTAATCATCTTGTAAAAACTTATTTAGCTAAATCTTGCAGCACCACATCACTTCGTAATATGACACATAGGCTTAACTGATTTCAATAACTTATAACCACTATATCTCAGTTAAATCGTGTTCCGCCTTATGATAAACTGCATACTTCCCACTAACTTGTATGCTTAATCAGCCGTCAGATATAAATATGTATAAATAGTCTATGGCAACGCAGAACATTGAGTCTAGAGCATGTCTCTAACGAATACACTCATGTTTAACGATTTGTTCCTAGCTATCTGTCCCAAATTCATATAATCATCACTCACGTATTCAAATTTTGTTTTGATAACCATTCATGTGTATTAGTAGTATTACTAAATTCTATCATGGTCAAGTAAAAATGAGGTTGAGAAAATCTCCCCGTAACTAAATAAACCGTATCAAACCGACAGGAACACTAGTTGGAATTCTTCTCCACGGTATACTTTTGTTCCTTCAGTTAGCCTACTAATACAGATGCAATTGGAATTCAACTCATATGGACAACTTCTCGGCATAATCGTTATTTGATTTCATAATTTAAACCAAAACTAATACCAATATTAACATTTCTACAATATTCATCACTTTAATATTTCTAAACACAAAATACTTACTACCTATACGTTAAGTTATTAACCAACGGCTATTAACACGCATCGTTTTATTATTATTGTAACCCCATTTTTATAGCTCAAATAATCTTCACCCAAATTTTCATTTCAAGCATGTTAAGCATGAAGGCAGATAATTTAAAATTATTACATGTATTTCCCGACCAGATGCTGCCGCTTTCTTTTTGATTTATCTTTCAGCTTACCAATACCCGGAGGATTCTTATTATCCTTGGTAACCTCCGGCGCGCGACGATCCCATCCAATTTGGTATCGAACCAACATCACGTTGATTCTGGTGGGAGAGTAGTGTAGTGGCATTGGACAATAGCCACACACAATCCACAAAGCTGTGAACACGAGACTACTCAGGAAATAGATATTCAATATTTAACGCGGAGAAATACCTAACAATGGAGTAGGCGCGAACAATGAATTGAATGGACTGGAGTTGATCGAGTGGCATGGCTCGGCCATGCAGGCGTGGTCTATGTCTATTCCTATTAAATATATTGTTCTTTCTCTAGCCTAACCTTGTTCTACATCATGTATTGGTAATTGATACGATACAGTGAGTTGGTGTAGTCGATGGTGTGACTTCCACGTAAGATCTTATAGATTAGGCAGTTATATCATGACGAATCTACAAATTTAGGATTAGGTCTATTATTAGAGCAGTACTAATATCATAGTGGACCATAGTTCTACAAGCTCTTGTTTCTCCATCAAACATGTGTTAAATTCAAAAGTAAGTAACCCTGCAGTTTATTATGGGGATTTATGTGATATTAGTGATCCTGAACACCCACTAGTTTGTAAAATGTTCACAATATTAGTTGTGATTCCATCATAACTAATTCTACTATTATATTCACGTGAAATCTGTACAACTATAATCTGAGTAAAAAATCTTAGGTGAAAGGGATGTATGAGTGTTAAGTCTAATTGAGTTCAAAAGATAATCTTCAAGTTGCACAACTTAACTGGTGAAAACATAAAGCGGTCAAAAAGTATGTTTGTTAGACTACCTGGTAAACTGAACATCATTATTTAGTTTCTGATTATATTAGAAAGTGTGAAGCTGTTGCCTTTGGAGAAGGAATAAAATTATCTCGATCGCTTCTCTGAAACCTTGTATAAATAAATGATTCGGGCTACTCTGGCCTCCAAACTGTCTATGCAATGCTCGTACCGTCAGTCTTAACAAGATTGTGGGTTCATCACTGGAATGTGCATCAGTTTGTGTATGAATTGACTATACAGTATTGAACTGAGCCTGTTGTGGATCCCAGTGAAAAAACCTATTCAAGATATAACAACACAGTAATTAGTGATGTACCGAAAAAGACTCACACTACAGTCCAAAGTGTCTGTTTATGAGTAAAGAAAAACAGCAACTAATGGCACTTACGACTAAGTGGTTTATTGAGTAAAAAAGCTAACTATTGCTATGAATTGAGGGTTACTTGTAAGCTTCTTCTGAGATAACAACGACGAATGAGTTCGTTTGACCAGCGAACGTTCCTTTGCACGTGTTGGAACCGATGGAGTGACGAGATAGATAAGGCCAGTAGTATTATTAATCAATAATCCAGGTCAACGTTTCACTGTAGTGTAAAACTGCCTAAAAGGATGCTGTAACACTATTATAATCTTCAATTAAGGACCTTGTTCAATAAAGTAAAAGAATAGACGACAGGGATATGGTGCATTTGAATAGCAACGCAAGCGTGTGTGTTGAGATCTTCCAAATAATCACATCTGTCTTACAGATAGATATTGCATATAAATGTGATTACATATAGTGTCACAAATAAAAAATGTGGTCTGTTATGTCCTTATGACTCACAAACTAGCACATGACTAAATCGGCAATTAAAAACACCGAATTATACGTCCAGACCAATGAAGTCTAAACCAGTATGAACAGTCTAGGGCCACCTCTGAGTTCATATTGGTCCCCAAAGACAGTAGCTTTTCGCCCAACCCGGCCGGTTTAGTCCACAACACCAAAACCAACCTCCACTATATGAATCATGTATTTCAAACATACGTATTATATACGAGCAAATTAGACCCTATCGTGTCGTAAAATAGCAAATTACAATTATACAAGATCAGACCGAAAGTTTCTGTGGTTGTGAGAGACTGTGGCTAATAAATTTCGAATAACCTGAAAATGGTAAATCGCATAATAATGGTCAGTAGGTGAAACGGAAGCTCATTCTAAGAGAAATATGAATATACATATAATATAGTTATTTAATATTTATACGATAAGAATATGTATACATATATAGTAAAAATCCATAAACAGATCCGGGCAGTTAACATTCACTTATTGTTCGTCCGCAAATAAAATGATTTTCATTTTTTCGTCAAAAAACCATCGAATATACATCTGAAGATAGGCTGAACACGCTGACCAACTAAATTCTACTTAATCTAATCCTCCACAATGCTCTTTAAGTTGAGTTGTACTCAGTCTGTTATGATCAACCTCTTTTTTGAAGGAAACTACTTTGCCATGTGAACTAGATGTGCCTGTATGTTTGATCGTAAAGAAATGTGGATTATAGGTACTTTTAGTTTAATAATCTGAAGTCACTGCCATCCCACTATCGAGCTTAACTATTTAGATTTCTGGTCACCGTTGATTAACTTATGAAATTGGTGTCTTCACAACTGATTATTCAGGTCAAAATAAGTAACTAGTCCTTTCATAGTACGAAGTATAATCGTGAGATTCCAGAGAGATATGTTCTGAATTTGTAGCGGCTGGTACTAGTTTAAGCCCACGTTAGTTATTCGAGCTTTTGGACAGATCAATCTACTCATTCTTTTCAAGTCACATTTTTACCCTGTCGCTTATTCTCTTATCAACCTTGACCGTTTGTATGTAGACGTGTGTGTGGACTTCTTATCGGACTCATTACATGTTTGTAACTTATTTGTGGCTTATACATAACGTTCCACGAGCTCATGCAAGCGTTTGGAACTGTTTCTAGACATCAGTAAGCCAGAGGAGAGAAAAAAACTGTTTAAAATTACGACTAGGCTGCAGCTCATTCATTTTATTCAGTAAACTCGCGGCGTTCATATATAAACACTTTGTACCTTCAGTTTGAAACGCGTGAGCATCCAAGTCCTGTTTATCCGTATGAGCCTTATGCGAAAAGACAGGTAGTCTACCTACACAGGGTTTTCCAAGTTGGTACCCCCTTCCCTTTCTACGATGTTCTCATGGTCTTTACAGTCTATGAGTGAAATAGTCCGCTCTAATTCAATTTTATGCTTAATCCTTGCATCACGCCACCTATACGAATGCATAAGGAACCGACGTCTGCTGACACGCAATACTTAAGAAGTTGCAGCCACCATCTTAACCATTGGATATTGAATGACCTTAGGTTTAAAGCGGCTCGCGCGCGGAGTAGTTGGGAACATTTTAATCAGGATGGAGTCGCCTCAAGTTGCGGACAGTGATGGTTCTCTAGACAAAGTGGACGATAGTCATAGCGAATCTCCTCATAAAGAACGTAAGTTTGAAAGCCGAGTATTCTGTTCACGTTCGCTGATGGTAGCATGAATGTTCTCATCTCTAAAATGATAAGTATAATCTAAGCAGTAAGAATGTTCTTTCCGGTTCGTATGATATTTTTGTATCTACTTACCTGTCACTAGTGACGGTTTCATATTTTGATATCCAGGATCTCGTCGTTTTCTCGTGGCCTTGTTATTTCTTACCTAATCAGTCTAGTTCCTGAAGATATTGTAACATCAGTATGGTTCAGCGTATTAGACGGCACAATGAGTTAAATAATCGCACGGTAATTTGAGAGTGTGCATCAAATTTGTTTAAACCTATCTTGTATATTCCCAATTTCTAGAGCTTCACAGGTAATCACGGTGAGACTATAATTTGTGAACGACCTTTGAGAGACGTTGAAGTGGCCTTGGGAATGTCCACCTAATATCCAGAACCAAATGAGAGTTATGAACCTGTGTGAAGAAGAGGAGTTATAATTTACAGTTCATGGTTTGGATTAGGGATATTTAAAGTTTTCATCACGAACTGACATCAGCGAAAGTCCCCAAACGCTTTTTATCCAAGTGGATGGGAGAATTTCGCGTCAGAATCCAATACATGTCCTAAACCGGATTGGTTCGTCCATAAATTATAGTCACTAATGGACTTTAATTTTCGTAGTCTCTATAATATGTCGTTCTAAAACTGGTTTTTCCTCACGAATGTAATTGATCGTTAGATATAAAAGTGCGCAAAACACTAAGAATTGTGTAGCGTTGATGTGCTTCTTCCTGGGTGAATCTCGCCGAGTTACTGACTATTTCGATAATACGAAATTACATTTTAAAGAAACTAGCTCACGAAAATTTGTAACTATCATATTTACTTTCATCTGTGGAAATGCCAATAAGTTGTCCAATTAGATATGTCTAAATGTAACTTATTACCACTCGGATACTTTCCATATTCTACTTTTGTATATCTCCAGAGTCCATCCTTGCAATATGGCAAACAACTACAGGTATACACTTCGCCCTATTTTATGGATTTCTGGTAGGGTAGCCTTTATCTTTATCTCAACACATACATAATGGTACAAAGAGGCACCAAATACATATGCACCACACAAATCTCATTCGATGTGTGTGGGCTGTGATACTACCCAGGTGCCCAAATCGAAGCAGATGGTTTTCTTAGGGAGCCACACTCCGAGCCTTCGACCTGGAGGTCTGATCCACAAGGCAGTGGAGCACCGTAAGGAGATGCAGTCACATGGTAGTCGGTGACCAAAGATTGGTTCATACGCCATTTGTTCGTTCAGGATACTGGAGCCCATGTGCACCATTGGTTTTGAATCCGGTTAAAGCGCCGGACATTCGCTTTTCGTCCTCTCATTTTCGTAAACAACACACCCGCCACGAGAAGGCAATGAGTAGGACTTCCCTGGCAGAGGCTATATACACGTGGCCGTGTGAGAGCATTTCGAGAGGGAGAGCGGACTCTCCCCACTCTCGGCCGTACCAGGGCATTTGGGGGCGGTAGGGTTGCCTGAAGTTTGCAAAACTAATACAGCAGAGGCTACCTATTAAAATATCATATGTGATTGGCATTAAGCTGCTACTCTTTAGACCTAACCCTCTCGCTTTTAGGTTGACATGACATTCACCTCATCTGGTTTCTTTTGGTTTTAAGAATAAATACGTCTCCATAGCATCATATGGAAAACAACAATCAAGTTAATCCTATTCACAGTCGGATTTCCAGCTCAACTCCTATTTATCATGTTTGTTATCATTCCTCTTGCATCATTTTTGCACATACCACCCATGTTTCTGACCTTTTTATTTCAGAACCGCTTAGGAATACGTACTGAAGCTGTTAGTAGTTAACATCAAGACTGTAGACTCTCATTCCGCTGATCTATACTGTGCTGAAACCCACATCCAGAATTATCTAACTATACCTATTCAATGTAGATAACCAGCACTATCTACCTTTCTAGTATCTGGTTATCCCCTATAGTTACTTCTGGTTCTTTGGACGCAGACGTGTCACCGAGTTTGAAAGTGTAACAAGCATTCATGGCTGAATTTCAGTTGGACTTATCTTATACATTGTCCAGCTATGTGGTACAGTGATGTCAGTCAGCAACAACGTAGAACTTCGTACGTACGTACATTAGTTCAAGTTGCCATACCACATTATCACAGAGATACAATTGTCGATTCAAATCCCATAGTGGTAGGGGTAGTCAAAGTCTAAGTAGTAATCGGAAAGATTAAGATTTGACGATGTTATTTAAGGAATATAATCCAGTGGTACAGTAAAAACTTGGAGAAATAGGAATACACGCTGTTACGTGTTCGTAGTCTCTATCTACATCCCTGTTGGCTAACACCACCCTCAAGAACGTTGGGTACTCATCCCTGGTTAAAAACGTTGAGTAAAATAGCTCAAATTAGGTCCCAGTAACACAAATACTATGATCTTTCGTTTTTTAAATCCTAAGTGTAGATATCATCTCACTTTATTTATCTCCTCCCCATTCCACTCTTTCGAAACTATATTTGCCTTATTCAGTCTTCCCTTCTGTAATGTCGAAATGTTGTAGCGCTTCACTTGGTATATGTGGACTGACCCTTATGAACTATTTTAATTAGCCGATCAATGGATTACCTATTGACATCCGTTCGTGTGGACATACTTTGTCGATTCATAGAACTCTTTTGAGAGTGTACCCCTTGGTCACTACCACTGGTGTTTCCAATCCAATAGATTTTCATATCCTTACATATCACCATAAGTCATTGACTGTCTATTTTTCTATTTCGTTCATTTCCAAGCCTTGTGGTTTGATTGTGAAGCCTTCGTTGTCTTTTTAGACAATATCACAAGTAAAAACCTTAAATAGAAAAAGTCTTTTAGAATCTTCATAACCAAAAAATTCGTTTTGTCGCATTACATCAAACAAACTGTCTGTTCGGATAAACATCAATTATCTATCAAATACGACGACATAAAGAATACAACGAAAACCAAATTTTTTTAGAAGTGTAGTACTTATGTTAATCAGCAATCAATAGATATATAAATTAATCCAGTTTATCGGTCACTTAGATAAATGATGAGCAACTATAATCTCAAGAATCAGGTTCGTGATGAAAGCAATCATAATAAATGTGCATCCGATGATAAGACAGATGAAAGCAACCAACTAAGTTTAATGTTAACAAAATACGTTAGTTATATATTTGGATATCCTAATTGGTGTTTTCTGTTTGAAGTTTGAACCGGTGATATCGTATGGAAGAATAATGAATGCCTTACGATTAAAGCACCTAGTTCAGTAAACTCTACTCATAACATTTTATCTAGTCTTTTATTTTTTAATTTGTTTCGAAATGGGACACTTTCAAAAACTCCTCGTCTATTTACCTGTTAGTAAGTTAACCTCATTTTCAAATAGTCTTGCGGTAAAAAAACTTTCCAGAAGTGGGAAACCGTAAGTTCAAATTAGTATAAGCATTATTTTATCCATATTGTAACCGACTATTCAAGACAGGCTCTTCTTATTTTATTTTAAGATACTTCATCACGTTTACTTCTGATTTCACATATTTCCTGCCATATGATGCGTCTTATTCTTCTCTTGTTCACAATTTGATTTATATTATCTGAAGAAGGTATCTCAGTCTCTGAAGAAGAGGTTAAACAGCTCGAACCCATAAATGGACATGAAGTTGATACTGGTGAGAAAAGACAACGTAAGAAGGTTCAGAGATTATCTGAAACATGGAATCGAGCCCATGAGGCCAAGGAAGAGGAACGGATCAAAGCAGTCCAAGCAGTCTCAGCAGCATTTGAGGGGGCTACAGGGACGGCACTCGGTGAGATCCCACTCATTGAAGCTTCCATACGAAAAGCAAAACCTGCTAGCCTCAAATCACTGCATTTAATAATATATGGTAGACCTGGCTCTGCAAGCAAAATACGTAGTAATCTACGCAAATTTCGAGGTTTCGGTTTCGAAATGGGTTCTGAACCGTACGAAAAAAAATCAACATATATTCAACAGTAAGCTAGCTATTTGCTTATTTCAGCCCTATGTTAGTTGTGTCTGTCGTCTCATAGTCAAGGTATTATTAACTCTAGAAGTAGTGGGTTAATTCATCTAGGTAAATAGGAAAAAATATTGCACGTTTTTTTGAAATTTTCGATTTACTTAACCAACCGTAAGAAATTTATTTATTTATTTTAAACACACAAAAGTCGGTACAAGAAGGCACCAAACTGATATGCGCCACATGAATCATTTGATTGGTGTGAGGGCTGGGATACTACTGCCTGCGTACCCCTACGGAAGCAGGTGTTTTCTTAGGAGGTCAAACCCTGAGCCTTTGACACAAAGGTCCAATCCACAAAGCAGGGGAGCAACGTCAGGAGATGCAGTCCCATGGTAGCCGGTAACCAACACTAGGTTCATACGCCGTTTGTTTCCTCAGGATCCTGGAGCCCATGTGCACCAGTGGTTTGGAACCAGGGTTTTCCAACTCCCCTGGTACGGCCGAGAGTGGGGTGAGTCCGCTCTCCCTCTCAAAATACTCTCACACGGCCGCGCGTATACAGCCTCTGCCAGGGAAGTCCTACTCATTGCCTTCTCGTGGCGGGTGTGTTGTTTACGAAAATGAGAGGACGAAAAGCGAATGTCCGGCGCTTTAACCGGATCACAAACCAATGGTGCACATGGGCTCCAGTATCCTGAACGAACAAATGGCGTATGAACCAATCTTTGGTCACCGGCTACCATAGGATTGCATCTCCTTACGATGCTCCACTGCCTTGTGGGTTAGACCTTTAGGTCAAAGGCTCGGGGTGTGGCCCCCTAAGAAAACCATCTGCTTCGGTTTGGGCACCCGGGCAGTATCACAGCCCACACACAAACGATGAACTCTATGTCTTTGGCAACTACTTTTCTCGCTCCGAAAAACAATCAATCGATTCAAATAATTATCATTACTATTATTGTCATTATTAATACTATTATTATTACTATTATTGTCGTTATTATTATTATTATTGCTATTATTATTATTATTGTTATTATTATTATTATTATTATTATTATTATTATTATTATTATTATTTCCCACATTATTCACCCTCTTTCATACTTATACAGCGGCTCGGCTTTGGTGGAAATCCGACTGTATCTAAACGTTCTCGAGTCACTGTCCGGTTGAAAGTTGTATGTTACCATCGAATATGAGTACTGAAGCAGTTTTTCTGAAACCACGTGCGCCATTCAAACTGGCTGCCTTCAACGTTCGCACACTTATGCAGGTTGGTCAACAGATAGGGCTGGCTATGTCTTTGGAAAGTCTTAATATTGATGTTTGTTGTCTATCCGAGACCCGTATTCAAGACTCTAGCGAAGTACTACAAATTCGCTCTACATCTATCACTTCAAAAAGCTTGTTTTACGTGCGCTTATCCGGGGACCCTGTGGCATCTTCGTCTGGTCTTGCAGGCGTTGGTGTTGCACTAAGCGCTAGAGCTGAGGCAGCACTAGTCGATTGGATCCCCATTAACAGTCGGTTATGTGCTGTTAGATTAGAAAGTTCCATCAAAGTGAGAAGAAATCGGCGTGAGAAACGATGTCTTTTCGTCATCTCCGCCTATGCCCCGACAGATTGCAGCCCGGATGCAATCAAGGATGAGTTTTACCACCAGTTAACTGTTCTTCTCCAGAAAGTGCGTTCGACAGATATTGTAGTACTAGCCGGAGACTTGAATGCTCAGGTCGGGCGTCTAGGCACAGAAGAGAGTCGTTTAGGTGGCCGATGGGGACTCGTTGGTCGCAGGTCAGATAACGGGGACCGTCTACTGCAACTTTACACAGACCACAACCTGTTTCTGGCTAGCACTAACTTTCGGCACAGTCATCGCCGATGTGCCACCTAGCGTCCTCCCTCTGCATCCCAAGCCTGGACTCAGATTGATCACATCGCGATCAGCTACCGCTGGCGTGGTTGTGTAAAAGATTGCCGCTCCTTTTGGAGTACCTATCTGGACTCTGACCATGCCTTGGTCTGCGCCAATCTTGCCTTACTTTTCAGTGGACAACGAAGTGACCACCACCAAAAGATTGATGTTAGCAAGCTGGTTGCCACTTCTGTTGCAAGTAAGTATCGAACCGAGCTAGCCTCTAGGCTAGCTACCACTCCACCGAAAAGTATAGATGAGCATTGGTTGCAATTGCATGACGCCATGAAAATGGCGGGAACAGTCAGTTGTGGGTTTGCGAAACGTCCCGCTTTTAAGCACTGGGTTTCTTTTGGTTCCTTACAACTCATTGAAGCCCGTCGGTCTACTCTGGGTGACCGTGAGTTTGACCATAAACGAAGGATGTTATGTAAGGAAATCGGGCAATGCTTGCGTAAGGACCGAAAAGCCTGGTGGTCGAAGCGTGCTAATGAGCTGGAAGCAGCAGCTGCATCTGGTAATTACCGGAAGCTCTTCCAGCTCATCCGAGCCACTGGCAGCAAGAAGTCTGGTGTGAGTGAAACAATCTGCGAGGATGATGGGATGCCAATCACTAACATCCATAGACGTCTTGGACGGTGGGCAGAATTTTTCGAAGGGCAGTTCAACTGGCCTGCTGCTCCGGCAACATCAGTCAGACTGTCCTGCTCTCCATGGCCGGTGACGACTGATCCACCAAATGAGGAGGAAGTCCGCAAGGAACTCCAACTCTTGAAGCGTTACAAATCACCTGGCCCAGATGACTTACCTCAGGCTCTTTTTAAAGATGGTGGTGACTTTTTGACTAAGGAATTGACGACGTTGTTTAAAAAGGTTTGGGAACTAGAGAGTGTACCAACGTCATGGAATGAGTCGATAGTTGTCCCTATCTTTAAAAAGGGTTCACGTCGTTCCTGTAACAACTATCGGGGGATAAGTTTACTTCCGATTGCGTCCAAGCTATTGGCTTCCGTCATACTTCGTAGGTTGTTCAAAACCCGAGAAAGATTGACTCGCGAGGAGCAGGCTGGGCTTCGTTCTGGTCGAGGATGTATTGATCATATCTTCACCCTCCGCCAAATGTTAGAACACCGCCATACTTTTCAAAGGCCAACAATCGTAGTGTTTCTTGACATCAGGGCTGCCTTCGATTCGTTGGACAGGACTGTTCTCTGGGATTGTCTATTGAAGAAGGGTGTGCCTGAGAAGTTTATTAACATCCTAAAAGCCCTATATACAAACACCTCAGGCAGAGTGAGGGCATACAACCACCTCTCTCCATTGTTCCATTCGAGCAGTGGGGTTAGGCAGGGTTGCCCAATCTCACCATTCCTCTTCAACTTTGCCATCGATGACATTCTAGAAACAGCTCTGATGAATGTAAGTAATGGTGATGTGGATCTGTTGCCTGGAGAAAGACTTCTCGACCTTGAGTATGCGGACGATATTGTCTTACTGTGCGATAGTGCCCAAGGCATGCAATCCGCACTTAATCAGTTGGCAATCAGTGTCCGTAGGTATGGTATGCGCTTTGCACCTTTGAAGTGCAAAGTACTCCTACAAGACTGGCAGGATTCCAATCCTGTACTCACCGTGGATGGTGAGCAGATAGACGTAGTCGAGAAGTTCGTGTATCTGGGTAGCTGTATAAGTGCTGGTGGAGATGTGAGTGATGAGATCAATGCACGAATAGTGAAAGCCAGAGCGGCTTATGCCAATCTGGGCCATCTATGGCGCCTTCGTGATGTTAGTCTGGCCGTAAAAGGTCGGATCTACAACGCGTCGGTGAGAGCAGTTTTGCTCTATGCTTGTGAAACCTGGTCTCTCCGAGTTGAGGACGTTAGACGACTCTCTGTGTTCGATCATCGCTGTCTCCGAAGGATTGCTGACATTCAGTGGCAACACCATGTCAGTAATGCAGAGGTTCGGCATCGTGTGTTCGGGCACAGAGATGATAATTCAATTGGTGTCACCATCTTGAAACACCGACTTCGGTGGCTTGGACATGTTCTCCGAATGTCGTCCCAGAGAATTCCACGTCGTGCATTATTTGCCGACTCTTGGACTGGTTGGAAGAAGCGGAGAGGTGGTCAGTGCATGACATGGTGTCGTGGTATGAAAGAAAACTGCAAAGGACTGGCTTCTGTTGGTCCTTCACTTCCTGGTTGGGGTCCGAGAGATGGTGCTACACAGTGGCTAGAGACGTTATCAGATATGGCTCAGAATAGAAGCCAGTGGCGATCCTGCTGTAACCTTCTTTTACTTTCTTCATAAAAAGTGGTTCTGTCTCCCTTACCTGAAAGATTTCTTCCGATTGTACCTTTGCGTTCCCTGATTACTAGCACATTACCTTACACCAGTCTCTTCGTTATTGTTCTCTCTTTTTTGTTGCGCTCCTTAGCTTTTTTTTTCTTTCTTTGTATTCCTCTCGAATTTTTATTGTTTTGTGTGGCGCATATATATTGGCGCTCTCCTGTACCAATATTCATGTGTCCAAATAAATAAATAAATAATCAACCCAATTAAAGCACCGGACATTTGCTTTTCGTCTTCTCAATTTCGTAAACAACACCTCCGCTACGAGACGGCAGTGAGTAAGACTTCTCTAGCAGTGGTTGTATTCACGTGACCACTTGAGAACATTTCGAGAGGGAGAGTTGACTCTCCCCACTCTCGACCGTACCAGGACTGCATTGTTGATATCTCAGCAGCCGTTGACATTGGTAACTGGAAATAAGCTCCTGTCGGTCAGAATCAATTGTAACGTTATAGTTTTATCAATATATCTTTGCTATGGATCTTATTTTATTATCCTTTCTGCCAATTGGCTTTCGGTATCGAAAATCACTTATTAAATAGACTAATAGTAATTCAAATATTTACCCAAAAGAAATTTGTTGCATGACGATGTAATTTTTCGTAATATATCATTAAAAAGTCTACATTCGGAATCAAACAATCATAAGATGCATTCCCATTTCATTTTCTTAAGCCGTATTCTAAGTATCCTAAAAACATTTGTTGAGTTCAATAACTTCATTCCTTAGTAACCTACCTACAGCTCAGTAAATTTATTTACACTCATAAACAAGGGTCGTCAAGACTTTTGGACATCCGTTTACACTACAAGAGCTTAAATTCTTACCTCTGGTTATCTCAATTAGAAATGTTGCTATCAGGCTATCCCAGAAGTGACTGATTTTCTGTAAGATATCAAACAATATTCACTGCGAAATCAAATCATTTAGATTCACTGATACATTATGAGCTTGACTGATATATCGGGATCATCATCGAAAGCTAAATAACATGGCACCACTTCCCACCCACATAGTAATATTAACTTATCTGGTAAAGCGATGTAGGTCTTGTAACTTTCAGTACATTCATTTTCGTTGAAGTTCTGGTTAGGTCTCTAAACATCCCTATATATATATATATATATATATATATATATATATGAGAAGTTTAATGATTGTAAATATGTTTGTATTGATTTATCTTTTGGGGAGGAAAAACTTGTTTTATCATTTTACTGTGGGTTCTTTTTGACAGACGCCCTGCTTGTGATCTACGCGAAGTTCTCCGCATCTTAAACCTAGAAGTTACAGGTACTCGAGAACAGTTGGCCTCTCGCTTACTGGAATTCCTACTCAAACCAACCGCTAATTCTGTGAAATGTAAAGGAAAGATCGTTAAAAAATATAAACAAAAAAATAAATCTAAAGATATTACCTCTAAAAAATCGAGATCAAAACCATCGAAAAAGAACACTATCTCAAATGAACCTAGCATAGATAATTCAAGTCAGCAGGATATTGATGAACCTGATGATATGTCGTCTGAATCTGAGAACTCAGAAAGTGATATATCAGATGCAGCTGAATCAATCGAAAAAAAGCAGCCACCAAAGAAACGTGCTTTAAGTCAACGACAAAAACAGAAACCTGTTAAACCTAGTATTAAACGAGCTAAAAAACATGAACTTAGTGATACAGAAGATGAAAATGATCATAAACATATTCCGACTAAAATGAAAAAAGAACTTGATTCTGATGAAGAAAATGTTCCTCTGTCTAATTTAACATCCACAAAAGTAACTACTCCTCCAACTGATTCTGAATTAAAGAAAAATATAATTGATCTACTTAAAACAGTTAATTTAGAAGAGACATCTCTTAAAGTTGTCCGAGAAAAGGTAATCAAAGTATAATGCGTTATTAAAACGGATCTTTTCTCCTTATATAACATCTATTGATATTTTGTTGTATCACGATATGCTTTCGCATTGGACGCTTACTTTTTTTGTTAGCTAGTAGCTTACAGTTTCAAACTTTATTTTTGGTAAATCGGTCATAAGCAATGTAGAACATAGGATATACGTGTACGTATCGGTTCAAGTTGCCACGCTACATCTGGACCATGAGATAAAATTACTGGGACACATTTCAGAGTAGTAGAAGTAACAGTGGAACCAGTGGTGGTAGGAAAACTGAGACATAAGCAATATGATTCAGGTTGAATGGATGAATTTGGGGAGTTATAAGTTTGAAATAACTCTCGAATTCAAAATCTAAAAGAAAATCAAAGGTGAATGCATTTGTATATTTGCTATCAATTCTAAACCATACCATCCAAAGACTCCAGCAATTGATCACAATGTTCACGAGGAAACCAATCATCAGTAATTCTGTAGACTATTACCACATCTTGGTTTGGTCGTTCTCATACTTTATTTCTCACAAATCCATGGTTTAAGTTACTAAATACTAATTTGTTTAGTTTTGGGCATCTTATCCCTAACTTTCTGACTGTTTTATCAAGGTCTCCCACGAATAACTGGATCAAATATACAATATACCATTTTATGTCATCAAGATCCTGAGCGTTAACGAGGTCATCAAAATGAATATGTTGTAAAACAATGTAAACTGAAAAACAGACTGATAGATCTCAACTATTTTATGGCCAATATCCACTAGTCTATCAACATTCGTTTGCCTTCTCCGGAGCACTATTCAAGTAGCTATTACTTAGGTAGAAATAGTAGTTTTTTCTGCTTCCACAAAAAACAATGATATTTTACAATATGTTTTTTTGACGTTTTGAATATGGCGTTAATTGCAGAAAAACAGTAAAAGACAATGTAAACAAAGGGAGTGGATTAAAGGTCACTACTTATTCTAGGCCTATGGGGTAATTTTGGAATAAATTAGTAAGAATTCAAACTGGATAAATTTGAAACAATGTTTTTGACTTAATAACAGTTATAAAAAAATTTCGACGGTCAACCTAACACTTTCAGTATCAAGATTCAATTATACGAAAAATGGTTGGTCTATGAAACTAGTTTATGTAGTACAATTTGACTTAGAAATGATATGAACTGTACAAGGTGGTTGTTTGCATTTCTCGGATGTTTTTTATCTTTAAGTATGATTGCTTTTTAATGTTTAGATCAAGTGTTTAGCGAACTTGATTCGAATAACCTCATTCATCATAAAATAAAACAGCCTTTTTTGTAACAAAGGAGTTATGGTTTATTGTCGATCCTCTTGATAATGAAATTTTACTAATGGTTATTATAAATGTTAGTATAGAGCGTTGATTATTGTGTTCGTGTCCCGGGATCTATAACACACCGGTAAACGTTTATTGAAATGAATTTTTAATAGAATGTTATTTGTATATATGTGTTGATGTATTATACTAGTGTAAATAGTTATTGCATATACATTTCAATAAATAACGGAAGATACAGTCATGAAAACATATGAGGGTGCATAACATTCATTGAAAATACTTCTAACATGTTCTCAATCCATTAACCATCACCGACTGGTTGAAAATAAGTCAATCACTGTACTCTTAAACCTGATCCGAGCGTCAGATTGTCTGAACTGTATCCTATTAACACTTCTCTTTTTTGAATTTCGTTTCCAGTGCTATCACAAAGTTTAAAAGCTCGAACCAACGCATTCTGTGCAATGTTCTATGCTATTGTGTTTTATTGTACATAAGTTTATGCATGCTCCATATCATGATTATTTCATTTTTGTTATATGAATTTAGTAATGTAATTGATATTTTGAGTCTTAATTTTTGTTTCTTCCTGAATCTATCTCATCAAATCAATCATATGCTTGTTTATTATTTCATACATTTTAGATTTTTGCTAATTATCCTAATATTGACTTATCTGATCGCAAGGATTTCATTAATGCCACTGTTAAAGAGGTAAGTTAATACAAATAACATCTTAATGGGTTTCACACTAAGTTATTATCATTCTATTATTTTTTTAAATAACGACATAGCATATTCAAAACGTCACCTGTAATAATTGTTCATCTGTCCATTCTATCTCATTTCTGTATATGGATACATTCTGTTGTAAAGTGTGTTCATAGGACCAATTTTTTTCTATAGATAACATTAAAATGACACAATAGATCGTTATGGGTGATAGCTGAACACACGAATACAATTTACATTAAGTTATTTAGGACAGTAATGTCGATGATATTTATCAGTTCACTTGGTACTATCATGCCAACTTTCATCTTGTAAATAACTCTATAAAGCGTATCATCTGTAGTATTTGGTACTTCAGATTACGTAGTAATTTTAAATGACCGGGACTATCTGATTTAAGACCCTGGACCTACATTTTATATTTCATGGGCTATGCCAAAAAACTTGCTCACCAAACTACATTGAGAAAGCCGATATTCTTTGTACATTCTAACCTACCTTAAAGCTACGGAGGTTACTACATTTATTAAAACTTTTTTCTCTTTTATTTAGGTCATCTTTAACACTACTACATTTTATAGTCATTAACATTAATGATTCATCTGTAATATCTTATGGTATTGATACGTTATCACCATAGCGTACTAAAGATTTTGCCGGATTCAATATTCTGTTTAGTTTCATCTTAAGTGCTTCCACAGAGTTCAGTATAGTTTCTACGCTAACTTTCCCATGTTATAACCGTCAGAAATAGTAATCGTATGACTAAGCAGAGTGGGTCCTGTCACCAAAGGATTAACAAAAAATTTCTGAGCTCAATGTATGAAATAAAAATTCTCATACCAGATAAGTATATAACCGTAAAGAAACCGTATAAGGTATATTGACCACTGTCATTTGATATTTATTGTAAAATGGTTAACTAAACTTAAATAAGTAAAGTTAGATTTACGCTCGCTACCTGTTAATTGATAGTTGAATTTTCAGACCGTGGAATGAGTGCTATGGGAAATTCTCATGTTTAAAGAATCGACTAACCTCAGAATGCTCTTACAGGGTTGTGCTTATTTACCTACTGCCAGCAAAGTTATTCGCTTAGTACTTTTGCATTTTTAGACGTTCTTATAAAGAATGAGGAAGAGTATAGATATCTGATACTTAAGATACTATAATGTGAACGATAGGATCATATGGTCTCCGGTACTACAAAAGAGCTTGTTACAACAAAGTTCCATATAATTGAATCTCCTGACTCTCTTCATTGCCTCATATATTGAACCCTTGGATTAAAGAGGTCAAGGGGGTTTATCGAATAATTTGCCAGTTTACTTTAATTTTCTTTTTTGCGTTACACTCCTAACTAAATCTATGCCACACTACCTTTTCGTTTTCAAGAAAGGCTAGGTGTAAATAATATTGTAACCTTGTTGGGGATGTTAGATCGCCAGAACTCACTTGGAAAATGTCTAATTTTCCAATTCTATTTTAAAATGTTGGATTTCTTGTTTTCGCGCCAAGGGCGCCCATTTTCACCTTCATGTCGTATTTCCCACCTGGGAGGACCCTAAATGTTATTGGTTCGTTGTCTCTTTTAATATGCTATTTTGTAAAGTTTCTCAAGGACATTTTTATGTTGTATATATGCGCTTGAGTTGTGCTTATTGTTGTTGTTTGTGCTTCTGAACCTGAACTTCTCCCTTTAGTTAGCATCGGAATAGCTTATTGGTCTTCGTTCCGTTCACAGATTAGGTGAACTCGTAATCTCTTCAAACGTAGCAAGCCTACAGAATAAATGCTTTGTTTATAGGAATGAAATACAAACATACATTTCTTGTTATTTTGATCTGGTCATCTTCGCGGCATTAGATCCTAGTATTGACTCGAACTGAGTGTTTAATATCAGCAGTAGAATGTAATTGTGTCCATTTGACGAGTCCCAAATAGAACGAAGCACGTATCTCGTTTCCCAGTGTGAACCGTGAATCACCTTTTCTAAAAACATGATAAAATGCACATATATCTATATCCCGCTCAGGATACACACATATCAAACAACTAAGATTGATCAAAGTTCAATTTCTAGCATCAACAACTGTATAGTTCAAACAATTTATAATAATGATAATAAAATTATAGTCTAACATGAATATTCTGTTAGGACTCATAGGTTACATTAGGGTAATTTAATATAAATAATTCACATTTAGGGATCGGACGATATTATTTTAAAGAAATGAATTTATAGAACTGTAAAGTTTCTATTATTCTACAGTATATTATCTACCAATTTTTATCTATTTTTTCTTCCTAGTTCTTGGCTCATTCTTGATTTGATTTATTATTGGTCGTAGAAGATGTGAATTGTGAATGTACGCCAATTTTTTGTTAAATAGTATTGGATCACATATATACATAACGACGATCATGGTGTTCATTCACACACATCATTTATTCTCTAATATTAATACCGGCAGCTGTATTTTCTAACCGTTGATCTACACACACACACATTTTGTTTTACCCTTTTGTTCCTAAATTTCATAGCCTCCCATAAGATACCGTACTGGTGTTAACATCATTCTTCCGTACCCATTTGGATATATATATATATATATATATATATATATATATATCTGCTAACTTGTAAATTTTGTTTTTCCCTTTCACATTAAAATAAAATAGACAAACAATGCATTTCTCTACGCTTTTTTATTTGTATGTTTTATTCTCATATAAGTAACACCACTCGTTGTCGCACTATCCATTCTTCTTTATTTGCGGAAAATCATTACCATTACTATTGTTATCGTTATTCTTCATATTATTATTACTATTATCGTCATCATCATTATCTTTTTTATATTATTGTAAGTGTATGTGTATATGTTTATATATGAGTGTACCAGCCTATAATGTGAAGATTTTCTCAATTCATTAATCAAGAAAAAATAAACAGCAACAATTCTATTACAATGTCGTACTTTAAAATAAGAACTCACTACCATTATTATTACTACTACTAATTATGATATTATTGTTTTTAATAAACTGATATTACATATGTACAGATTTTTTTTCCAATATGATTATTTTGTTTCGATAGAATGAAGTGTCGTTGTTGGTTTTTTTTTGCATCTGATCGAATGGTATTGACTGTATTAAAACGCAATTTTATATGTTTAGTATCATATTGACATCATTTTTCTAAGTATTCACATTAGTTAGTGGATGCGCACTGCTGAGGAGTCCCATACTAGGACGAAACGGCCGTCTTCTGCTTCCAGGTTTTCCATGGTAGTCTAGCTTCAATTGACTCATGATTTCAACCAGTGAAATTTCTAAAAAATCTCCACAAAACCCATTCTGATAATAATAATAATCACCTGCTCACTAGTGACTGACTTCAGGAGATACTCCTGGAGTTCTAGTGAGAAGTCGTTACCAGTGGAGTTCAACTAGGTCTGTTGTGAGATGGGAACTCACTGAAGACAATGGTGTACGGTGGCGCAACTTCGTGGATTGGTTGAAGTTAGACATTAACACCGTTGGACGCCGGCTCAGTGGTCTAGTTGGTTAAGCGCCTGGCGCGAGACTGATAGGTCCTGGGTTCGGATCCCGAGGGGGACGGGATGGTGGATGCGCACTGCTAGGACGAAACGGCCGTCCAGTGCTCCCAGGTTTTCCATGGTAGTCTAGCTCCAATTGACTCATGATTTCAACCAGTGATATTCACATTAGTGTTGTATTGAATTCACTAGATATAACATCAAAATTAATCGATAACAAATATTAATGTCTTTATGATAGCGTGGTTTAGAACAATCTGTACAGAATTTACCTGTACTATAAGAAAGGTTGGTCATAATTTGGTTATTAAATATTAACAACAGCCTAATTCAAATCCTTACTAATATTGATATAAACATCATACCTGCAAAATAAATTGTTGATTTCATGAACTACTCATTAGCATAGTGGATAATGCATTGGGTATTTGACCCGAAAGATACTCGGTTCGAATTCCAGTGTGAATATCAACACATACAGGTACATCTAGCTCACAAGTACTTAAGCATGACAAAAAAGATGCATGTGTTGAATCCCGCTACTAGTTAAAATCTATCTATTCTATGGAATATGTAATTCAATATTTCAGATATAGAGTTCACAACTATCGAGTTAACGATTTTAGATATTTGTTTTCTATTCAAACCAACTTTTATTACATTTTGGTATTTGACCAAATTGTAATGACGTCAAATAAAAAGTTGTTCTGTATATTAAACATTATTGTATACGTTTAATTTGTTACGTATTTCTTAATAAATGAGGGCGACAAAATTTATGGGATAATGTTGACATTTGTTTATGTCATGAGGCTTCAAGAGTATTCAGAATCTAGTCAAAAATAAAATTGTCCGCATATATCTTATTTAGTTCCAATTCGTGATATGTTTGTGACCTAAAGTTTCAAGTTGATCTGGACCTTTTTACACAAATTGTTATCAATCAAAACTTTTATAGTATACACGGATCTGTTCGTATTTTTACTTCTCTTACCAATTTCCTAAATGACTCTATTCTTATGTCAATGTTAGTCGCTAGCGGATACTCTTACCTTATCACCTTGAAAATAGAAAAATGTTTAAGTTGAAGAGGTTTTGTGGAGTTTGGTCTAATTCATAGGTTATGTTTATCGCAGATTGATCTAATTTGAAGTACTGTCGAGAACTAGGAAGTACTTAGACCAATCCCTGACGAATACCACCTAATTAAGTCGGTCTTTACAAAACCCCTTCAACATATTCCAGAAGTCCTTGTGATAAGTGGATGAAGTTCAATTAAATCGAGAGTGAAACAGCTATTATCAGTGACGTCGTATGATCGTCGATCTATTAATCGAAGTTGGAATTGTGGTCCTAGTAGTTAAGCGTTCGTCATGAATTGATTGAGATAGGAAATGTATATCATTAATTTCTAAGTCAATGATCCAAAAGTATCGCATACGCTTGAGAACCTGATAGCTTTGAGTCTTATCCGTGATGTGGCTGTACGTGCACACTGCTGAAGAGTTGCTTATTAGGACGGAATAACTGTCCAGTTTTCCTTGGTTTTTATTGGTACCCCATCTGATAAATGCAAGCTATGCTGCTCATCAACCTTAAAATACTTCCGACATCTTAGTTGGACCATAAGTATATCTTTTTCTATAGCGTAAGAAAAGACATGTGTAATTATTGTTAGGTATATTGTATTGAAGCATCGTTATGTAGTTTAATACAAATTTCGCTGAGAGGGTTGAATTTCACACAACTTGAAGTGACAATGAGCAATCGGATACTATTTCTCCTTTTTGAAATGTGATAATCATTTAATTGTATTGAAAATCATTATAGTAGATCTCTTCCTTGCGGTGTGTAAACTGTTTGTGGTTTTAGTTATTCCCGTCGTTTACCATCATCTAATCAAATCTGTACAGAGCTCTGGGTCGAGATCACATTTCGTCAAAACAGATTAGTGGAAACTACAATCCCGTGTTTTAATTGGATAGTTTGATTCCTGTAATCCCCGCCGGTTTCAAGTTAGCTGTCCGCGCTAGACCATGGGAATACAACCGCCTGAAACAACGTAGCAGAAGTCTTCTTGCATCACTCAGCTGAAACTTCAGAGTCCAACAACATCACAACGCAACAGACAAACCAACCTTGCGACTGGACCAACACATCTAATCTCATCCTGTTTGATACAATTCTCACAGTCAACCCTTCTCCTGAAGTTTCAGATTCCGTTCGCCGACTTTTCTCATCTGTATTGTTTAATTACCAAAGGTTATTTTCCTAGATGACCTGCTATTGATATGAATACAGCCTTCCATGCTATCTTATTTGGTTACTGTTAGACATAATTTTTTATCTTCAGTAGAGAACTACTCAGTATTAGCATGAAGATGACATCTGAGCGTTTATTCATTTGTTATTAAGACAATCGACTTTTAGGTTATTGGAAATATAATCTAGTAATCTTTTGGTCCAGTACTATTTTACTCTTTAAAATTGGTTAATACAGGAATTGTATTCTTTCTTTTAGAAATATTGTAACTATATTATACAATGACCTTTTAATGATCATTTTTACTCTTTGCCTGGTATACAATGTTGTCCACACCTAATAGTTTTTGTTTTATTTTAGAGTTTCACAATATGGAATTAAGCCATCGTGTCCCGTTTTTACCCAAGGTCAGTTATTTAATATTTCATACGCTTAGATCTATGTATATAAGTAAAGTTTATATTTCGCTCTATTCTACATAGTCACCTCCAATTTCTTCATAAAATTAGTAACAATATTTGCATGTTTATTTGTTTTTTTTTGTACGGAATTTTAGGTTTCTGAAGTTTATAGTCGAAATACAAATGGTGATAAGTCATTCTTGAAACGCAATATTGTAAATGGGCAGTCAAAACTTCAATGGATTTTACTATCCATTATTGTAGTTGCTTTCTCAACATTACTACTAATTAGTGTGTATTATTTCTTTTTCCGTTCATTTTCTTTTGGGAACATGAGTTTGGACATTGATATGTTGGAGGTGAAAAAATGTCCTGGATGTGCTGGACAGTCTATTTGTCCACATTTTTATCGTGGAGAAATTCGATTCACTAGTAGTCAAACTAATATTTTTCAATCTACCAAAGATGGGTTATCCTTTCCTGTTGTTGGATACAAAGCTACTATGGGTAAGTTTGTTTTGAGTTTGAATTATCTCATCATTGATCTCCTTGGCTGAATTAGTTCGCATATATGGGCATCTGGTACGGATTGCTTTGATATAGAAGAGATGGATTGTGCCTAACTATGGAATCTAGGTTGCTCGTTTTGTTCTATTTAGGATTCATCAGCTGGATGTTTCTGAATAAATTAAACTTTCAAATTACAGAAACAGTTCTTTGAAACTTACCTCAAGAATTCCAATATTATGTATGAGAATATTATCGTTTTCAATCAGATCCTCATCAGGCTTTGTTCTAATATACGCTAATAATATTTATATGCAGATATAAAAATATTATACCAATCAAGGCAGTTTATGAGTCAGTGATAACAATAGGATAGGTTATAAAAAAACTTAATACGTAAAATGTACAAATTAGTAGTATGACGACGGGTGTACTAGTTGTGATAAGAATAATAAAGGCTTGGGTCAATGTTTCGTAATAGAGATCAACAACTTAAAAAAATAGACAATGAAATAACACATTCAGAATAATTAGACAATGAAGGGTATATTTGTAGAAAGAGGTAACGAAAAATAAACAAGTAAAGGTTAGCGAAAATAATAATTATAAGTAAAATTGTTTGTCAAACTTAATTTGGCCGATGCAAAATGACGAGTGTTTCAAATTTCTTATGAACTCAAAGACTTGGATTGTTAGCTCAGGTCCTTAAAGCTCCACGATCGAACCCTCCATATTCGGTATTTATAAGATGTCAACTGTTGCACTACGCCACCTTTTATCAATATCAGTGAATTTTAAATTTAGTGCATATTGATTGGTATCCTATCTGATCTCTGTAGTTTCAAGCTGCTGAAATAATCCTCAGCATCAACACAATCGATGTAAGCATTATACTACAGAAACAGTGTGGATCTTTTGGTCTCGGTTTTTGTAGGATTCACTTGGAATCAGAAATAAATACACCGCATCCTATTTTTTCGATACATTTTTATTTGGAATTTACGTATGAACCGCTAGACAAACATGAACGTGTAAAATCCATTTCCATGTCAAAATGAATATAAACAAACTAGAAACATGTCCCTCTCTATCTACTTCAATCTGGTCACTATCTTTCACACTTAGTATTTGTATTAAAAGCAAGTACTTGAATCTTTTTTCGGTAAATGGATTACATCTCCTGTCATTAAGTTTAAAAGCTAACTTTTTTGAAAGTCTCCTCCAAATTGTAATAGTTGTGAATGTTATGTTTTCTTTCCCGTTAACTTTCTCTCTGTTCATCTTACTGCAATTAGAAAAGGCAGACAAAATCAGGAAAATATTTCCTGTTCGATACAATTGTTGCCTCCTGCTTCATTACAAACGCCTAATGTGATGTATGACAAATGGAAACTTATTAAGGATAATTTGATTAGTTTATTTACTATACTGCACAGTAGAATGATAATATATATGAATACAAGATTGAAAGTGCCTTCCTGACAAACGTTGTTGTATCATACCCATTATCCCCATATATTTCCGCAATTAAATTAAATTACTACCTATGATTATATTGAAAGCGAGTGTAAAGATGACAAATAATTGATGGTATAGTAAGACAATACCTAACAAAAACTTATTTATATCCATATATTAGCGTTTCTTGTAGGTGAAAATATTTCTAACCGAAAATGTTTGACGATTTTGAAAATAAACAAATATTTATATGTTGCTTGTTTTTTAAATTGTATTTTACAATGATTCAAACGGAACAAATGATAGTATGGTGTATGCTACTTATGTTGACAGATATAAGTAGTATGTAACACCGTTCGGAAGTGCAATGACTGAGCAAAAGATTGAAATGAAGAGAATAGAGGAGAAAACTGGAAGTAATCGAAATAAAAATAGGAATGAAGGAACGATGATGTTTGTAAGAGACATCTCATTGATGTTGTGCAAATGATGTATTTAATGTATGGTTTTCACACTTTATTAAGTTACTGTGTGATTTCTCATCAACAATAAATGGGTTCTCTACGATAATCGCGTGTTTTGTAATTGGTATGCAGTACATATTCGTATCTAACCTGCTGTCTAAAGTTTTACATGGATCAATCTAAATTTTTTGATCGGTTCTTGTAATTTGTTAAAGGTGTTATTAAAAATTCCAGTGCTTTGATTTATTCAACCACTTCAGTTATTACGCCATGTCGATAATTCCCTCTATTGTCTCTTTTGTCGTTCCACTTTTCCTAACTTCATCATATAATTCATTTTCGAGGTAATTTACTGTTTGTATTCTTTTGTGTAATTGTTTACATAATTGAAGTACTTATATTATTGTTAATATTCATCATGTTTTTAGGTCCTTACGAAAATACTAGATATGTTCTTCTTCGCCGTCTTGGAAGTCCAGCCACGCCATATGCCGTTGATGAAGCTGTTTGTCGACGAGGTTTGAGACAAGGTTCTCATATGTTCTCACAGTCTCTTCTAGCTAATCTTTCTTGTATACCACATCTTTCGATTTGGCGCTGGCTCCCAACAAATGCTGATAATCATGATCCATTTAGTAACTCAGTAGAATCTCCGCTTGGCAGAGAAGTTCTGGCAGTTCCAATCCCTTCACTAAATCAAAAAAGTGTGGGAAATAAAAGTGTTGTAAAATCAAGTTTTGCTCCAGCCACACGGTGTTCTAGCGATCGTTTGTTTGAACATCTTCAAAAGAGGTATTGAAAATATCTGTACTAAACTAATATTACTGATTTTGTACTAATGTCTTTCACGCAAGCAGAACGTAATTTGTTTGGTTGGTAGCAGAAGGAATAGCTATCGAACACCTTCAAGTTACAGGCAGATATTTTGTGTTATCAGAGGAGCCTTAAAAATATCTTACTAAATAATAGAACAGAGATTGAACGAATGATTAACATTCCAATTATTATAAAACTCACTATCGTACTTATTTTATGCAAACATAGTTTGAGCAAACGGCTACAACAATAAGCGAATGCATTTCTAATTAATAAATAAGCATATTTACACAATTATATTGTAGATTTTTAGAACGAACAAGCTTTGGAGCTGAAACTCGTTGGTTACGTTTTGATGAATTGATGTTCCTTTTTAATTTGGCAATCGATCCTCAAAGTGTAATCATACAATCGTTTCCACGCAAAGAAAATTGGCCTTTTCCAAGTTATTTAGGCTCTTGTGGACGTTGGTCTGTTGAAGAGTATCATGGTGTACCATTGAGCTATTTCTGTTTGGTACTGTTTCTGCTTTTTTCCCCATTTCTATATAATTCCCTACTTGCTTTCACAGTCTCCTAGCTAATTTCAATAAACTGGTATTCACAAACAATTATCTATGTCATTTGTTATATTAGAATCGTATATTGGTAATAATGTGAATCTAGTTGCCCAGATTTCATTGAAACAATCTCTTTAGTACTCTTGTCAATTGACTTTCTGTTAATACTATTGCCACCTGATTTTCTCACTACGATTCAACAACCTTCCCTGACTGAAGTCATATACATATAGATCTAAATAGTTAGTTTGTATAAGAAAAAACTTCATAATTACAGAGAAGCCTTGAAACAATGATTACTGGTCAAGAAAGTTTTATGCAATACAATTGTCATTACCATTTAGAACTTCTTATGCATTTCAGATCCAAGTTCTAGGTGGATCTGCACGTTTTTATACCATCCTTCAGCCATATATATGTACTTCAGAGGAAAATGCTATCTTCGAAAAAGGCAGTGAAATAAAGTTTAAAGTATTATTTTAATTAAGTAATTAGATTATGCTTCACAGGCTTTATAGTTTATCTGTGTTGACAATGATGAGATGGTATTTCTTGATGTAAATGATGGTGAAGTAAAATATTCAAATTCTTCGATATATAGAGTAAATGAATACTGATAACATTATTTTGTATACCTACAAAAGGCGATGATTAGTGAGAGTTGGTTTTTTTAAATATGAAATTCCTGCTTATATTCTTATTCTTCTACTAATGTAGATGTGTGTCTTCTTGTGAAGGCTGTTCTTGATGACGACGTGATTTTTACTTATTTTTACTTTTAATTACCCATCTGACAACCAAAGGATGAGCATACTGCTCAATGGTTACTGTGTTTTATTCTATGGCTTTAAAACGACCTATAAAATGATTGGACGTTAGTAAGCTGTACGTATCTATTTATAAGTGTCTTCGGTGCAATGCTCACGTAGCATTTAGTATTAATACGTGGTTTTTTCTAACATTTGGTCTTATGAGGTGTACTCTAATCTATCCAGTCATTGTTATTTTTATATATGAACTTGACATGTGTGTATGTAAAGGTATGTTTGTCTACATACTCAGGTTCAGGATCTTCAGTCTTGCGCGAACATTGCTGCGGAGTCTCATACTATCCGTCTAACTCTTCCACGTTTTCAATGGTGGTGGAACATTGATCTCAATTAAAACTTAACAATCTCCACAACTCCTCACTGACAATTTCTTTTTCTTCTATTTAGGCTCCTTTATGGATAAGATTACAGATTTTGTTAAATATTCTCAGTCTACCAGAGAAATTAGAGCATCAATCTGCTGATGAAATGAATCATGGTAGTTTTATTCATGATATGCATAAACATAATTCATCTGATGGTTATACAATATACCTTGGAGATTTTGATTTAAACTCATTATTTCTAGTAGATCCTACAACATATGATGTAACCATTTCAAATTTAAGACATGCAATTATTGTTGACACAAAAACAGTAAGTATCCAATAGTTTGTTATTACATTACTAATTTTAAATGGTTTTATATGGTTATTCATATTAAATTTAGAATTGAAATGTTGGTTTTGTCATCATTTTAAAATTATCTTGTGTTTATGTATTTACGAATCCATCCTAGTTACAATCACCTCTAACTTGTTTTTTTTTTCAACTCTGCCCTGTTCATATCCAGCATAAGATAGCAATATTTATAAAGTTATTCCCCTTTACCATTTTACTGCATTTGATTTAATTTCTTTAAGTATCAGGAGAGCAAGAAAACTGATCAATCTAGATATTATATGATTGTTTCAAAGCTTTCTTTTCCCGTGTAATGTATAGGATGAGTTTGGTTACGATCCTTTCACCATTGTTCAAAGCTTTATACTTCTTATTGTTCCAATCACGAACTGACCTTAGTTAACTAACCATTGAAAACCAGAAAGCAGTGGACAACTGTTTCATCATTTTCAGTAGTGGTCTAGCTTAGATCGACTCTTCATTTCAGCTGTTAAAATACTACCATATCCACCAATTCCCATACTAGTATATGACGGTAATCTACACAGTCAAAAGTATCAAAAATGGTATAATTCAAATGCCCACCAATAACAAGCTCAGAATAACAACTGTGTTTAAAGAGTAGAAAGAATGAAGAGATAACAACTCACTGAAGACAATGGTGTACAGTGGCGCAACTTCGTGGATTGGTTGAAGTTACACATTAACACCGTTGGATGCCGGCCGGCTCAGTGGTCTAGTGGTTAAGTGCTCGCGCGCGAAGCCAGCAGGTCCTGGGTTCGAGCCCCGCGTGGTGTGGGATCGTGGATGCGCACTGCTGAGGAGTCCCATACCAGGACGAAACGGCCGTCCAGTGTTTCCAGGTTTTCAATGGTGTTTTTTCTTGTTTGTTTATTGATTGTTTAGAGCCCCCAAATGCCCTGGTACGGCCGAGAGTGGGGAGAGTCCGCTCTCCCTCTCGAAATGCTCTCACATGGCCACGCGTATATAGCCTCTGCCAGGGAAGTCCTACTCACTGCCTTCTCGTGGCGGGGGTGTTGTTTACAAAAATGAGAGGACGAAAAGCGAATGTCCGGCGCTTTAACCGGATTCCAAACCAATGGTGCACATGGGCTCCAATATCCTGCGGGAACAAATGGCGTATGAACCAATTGTTGGTCACCGGCTTCCATGGGACTGCATCTCCTCACGATGCTCCACTGCCTTGTGGATCAGACCTTCAGGTCGGAGGCTCGGGGAGTGGCCCCCTAAGCAAACCACCTGCTTCGGTTTGGGCACCCGGGCATTATCACAGACCTCACACATATCAATTGAGATTTGTGTGGCGCATATGTATTTGGTGCCTCCTTGTACCAATATTTATGTGTTAAAATAAATAAATAAATGGTGGTCTAGCTTCAACTGACTCATGATTTCAACCTGTGAAAATTCAGAAATAAATGTTGAATAGCATTAGTAAATAAAGTTAATACAGTCTCATGACTGATATTTGTTGTCTGTGTATATATGATATTATTTCATCAAAATATTTTAGTTTACCCAATTAGTCATTCACATGATCATTAGTTTTTCGTATTAGTTAGGAAATACTGTATATAGTCACTCTTTGTATGTAATGAATTGTGATCCTGATGGTTCGTGTTGCACTAATCTACACAGTTTTGTATCAGTCAGTCAGTCAGTCAGTAACAACGTAGAACTTCGTACGTACGTACATCAGTTCGAGTTGCCACACCACATTAGCGCAGAGATACAGTTGTCGATTCAAATCCCGTAGTGGTAGAGGTAATAAGAGTATAAGCAGTAATCGGGAAGATTAGGGTTTGTAGATGTTATTTAAAGAGTATAATCCAGTGAAAGAAATTTGGAAAGAGGAAAAAAGGGACATGAAGAATTCAGAAGATTAGAATTTGGGAGAACACAGAGAGTGGATGCACCTGCGCCATTGCAAACGATTTTGAGCCATGTCATTCAGGGTCTCTAACCATCGGTTGCTATCATCTCGCGGTCCCCAACCAGGTAGTCTACACCTACCAACATGACTCAGTCCACTTGTCAGTGACTTCATGGACTTGTGCCATGTTTTGGTTTGGCCACCCCTAGCTTTCTTCCAACCTACTCCTATACCACTGAACATAGCACGTCGAGGCAGTCGGTCGTTGGGCATACGTAACACGTGTCCCAGCCATCTCAACTGATGAGGTTTCACTACTTCATCAATTGATTTGCCATCCTTACCTAGTACCCGTTTCCTAACAACTGCGTTACTTACTCGATGGTCCCATGATATACGAGCAATGTTTCGAAGACACCTATGATCAAATACTAGTAACCTACGGATATCCTCTACTCTTACCGGCTCCCGATCGAAGCTGCTACCTTGACGCGGTGGTCGGGCTTGCCTATCGTGATGACCCAACCGAGCTATATTGGCTGGAACATATGTTCCTGCAGGTTCTACCATGCCAGGCAGGTCGATTGGCGAACGGTATGACTAAAAGCAGCAACTCAAGGTCTGAGGGCGAAGTCGTACTGCTGACTGTAGAGAGGTGTGACAGCAGTAAGGTGTTTCCCTCGGACAACCAGCATGACAGCGATGCTGCCTTCCCACAAGGAGGGGTGGGGTTAGAAAAGGTCGACCCTAAAAATGCACACCTCACCTTACCTCACGGATTTCCGTCTCCGGCGGTAAGGCCCCTTGAAGAACGGAGCTAACACGTCAAAAACCTTCCACAAAAAGGCCGTGCGCGACCGGCCTCAAACAGTTGTCCCTTGGGCTCTGCGGTCACGCTCCCAGGTCGTCAAAACCAACACTAATCCAATTTCCTTTTCAGGTTCCTCAAGAAATACCCTTCCACGGTGTGGGCAGCCGGGAAGTGACATCAGCCCTCATACCCGTAACAGCACAAGAGACCAAGGTGGTCACATTCAAATCCTTCCTACACCTCCTAATACCTCTCTTATCCTCCCGACTAACCCTCCTCACGTCTCTTTATCACCTCGCACCGCTAGGGCAAACGATTCGAGTACGTGGAACGCCATTCCTGGTCTCCTGAAACCACGCTCTAAACTACACGTAGGAGCTTTTAACGTACGAACACTTTGCCAAATAGGACAGCAGGCTTCCTTAGCTAAAACTTTAGAATCTCGCGCCATCGATGTGTGCTGCGTCTCCGAAACGCGCATACAGGATCCAAGTAGTGTCATTCATTTGACCTCACCATGCCAAAATAAAGAACCGACTCGATTTACGCTTCGTGTATCTGGAAGCCCTGATTCTGCTTCCCGTGGCCTCGCCGGCGTAGGTATAGCATTGAGTCCTAGGGCAGAACTAGCTCTCTTAGAGTGGATCCCAGTAAACAGTCGTTTGTGCGCTGTCCGACTGAACGGAACAGTAAGAATCCGGAAAGATAGGGACACTCGTCGTTGCCTCTTCGTCGTCTCTGCCTATTCTCCCACTGACTGCAGCTCAGATGATGTAAAAGATGAGTTTTACAGAAAGCTTTCGGACCTTCTCCGAAAAGCTAAGCGCTCGGATGTAGTAATAGTGGCCGGTGACTTTAATGCTCAAGTAGGTAAACTAAGCGATAAGGAAAGACACCTAGGTGGATCTTATGGTGTCGTGGCTCAAAGAACAGATAATGGCGACCGTCTGTTGCAGCTATGCTCAGATAACCGCCTGTTCCTTGCAAATACTAACTTTAAGCATAAGGAAAAACATCTTTTAACATGGCGACCCCCTAATTCGTCCCAACGTTGGACCCAAATAGATCACATCGCTATCAGCCACCGATGGAGGGGCTCGATAGAAGACTGTCGCTCATTCTGGAGCACATGCCTAGATTCGGATCATGCTCTAGTGCGAGCGCGTATTTGCTTGCGTCTTACTGGACGTAGGAAAGATGCTGCAAGGAAACCTCTTAGGGCTCTACTTAATGATAGTCAAGCTAAGAATATATTTCAGGAACAACTAGGAAAACAGTTAGGCAGCCATGTATGTGATGCCCACCCCGAGGCAGCATGGAACGATATCCGAAAAGCTGTGGAAACAGCAGTGATATCTGCTAGTAAGGTAAACCGTAAAGTTAGGGAGCAACACTGGATCTCAGCAGCATCTATCGCACTGATAGATGCTCGAAAACTCATTCCACCTGGCTCTGAACATAATGAAGAGCGGAGTCAGCTTAAGCGCAAGCTGACAAGAAGTCTACGCAATGATCGCGAACAGTGGTGGGTAGCGAAAGCAAGAGAGATGGAAAAGGCAGCGGCAATAGGTAATAGCAGACAATTGTTTAGACTCGTTAAGGAAACCGGAATTAGGAACCCGACCGTTAGCGAAACAATCTCAGAGAAAGATGGACATATTATTCATTCTCAATCCAGGAGATTGGATCGATGGGCAGAACACTTTAGGGATCAGTTCAACTGGCCTTCAGCCACACTTCCGTTTCCCACGATCTCCAGTCAACCTGAATGGCAAGTTAATGTAAGTCCTCCGTCCCTTTACGAAGTTGAAAAAGCCATAGGAAATCTGAAACGAGGGAGAGCAGCAGGCCCTGACAGGTTTACTCCTGAGATTTTTAAGGATGGTGGTCCAGTATTAGCAATGAGATTAACCGAGGTCTTAGGTAGAATTTGGGAACTGGACGTAATCCCATCTGACTGGTCTCAATCACTGATTGTGCCAGTTTTTAAGAAAGGACAAAAGTCCTCTTGTGACAATCACAGAGGAATCAGTTTGACTAATATAGTGTCTAAAATATTAGCCTCAATAATACTTCGACGCCTAACTAAAGCTCGTGAAGAGCAGACTAGAGAAAACCAGGCTGGTTTTCGACCTGGACGTGGTTGTATCGATCAGATATTCACACTACGTCAGGTTCTAGAACAGAGACACACATTCAGACGCCCCACAATGGTAGTATTTCTCGACCTTAAGGCGGCATTCGACTCTATTGATCGTGAGGTTCTATGGCAGTGTTTGTCACTGAAAGGAGTACCAAAGAAGTACATTAACCTTATAAAGGCTCTCTACTCGAACACAACTGGTAGAGTGAGAGCTTATGGTGAACTGTCATCAGAATTGATCACCTCAAGTGGTGTTCGTCAGGGCTGTCCACTCTCCCCATTCTTGTTTAACTTTGTCATTGACGTACTTTTAGAGATAACACTCTCCTCATCTAAATTTACAGGGGTTGAACTTCTACCAGGAGGTTCACTTGTTGACTTAGAATATGCAGATGACATAGTTTTATTTGGTGAAGACGCTGACAAAATGCAGAGTCTTCTGACCACTCTAAGCAACAATGCAAGCATGTTCGGGATGCGATTCTCTCCCTCGAAATGCAAAATGTTGCTTCAGGATTGGGTTACATCGACACCCGAACTAGTGATAGGGAGTGAAGTAGTTGAGTGTGTCGACCGCTTCACTTATCTTGGAAGTCTCATCAGCCCTTGTGGTTTGGTGTGTGACGAAATCTCAGCACGGATACAGAAGGCTCGACTAGCTTTTGCCAACTTGCGTCATTTATGGCGTAGGCGAGATATCCGTCTATCAACCAAAGGACGTGTTTACTGCGCAGCAGTTCGTTCCGTCCTACTTTATGGCAGTGAAACATGGCCGGTAAGAGTAGAGGATATCCGTAGGCTACTAGTTTTTGATCATAGGTGTCTTCGAAACATTGCTCGTATATCATGGGACCATCGAGTAAGTAACACAGTTGTTAGGAAACGGGTACTAGGTAAGGATGGCAAATCAATTGATGAAGTAGTGAAACTTCATCAGTTGAGGTGGCTGGGACACGTGTTACGTATGCCCAACGACCGACTGCCTCGACGTGCTATGTTCAGTGGTATAGGAGTAGGTTGGAAGAAAGCTAGGGGCGGCCAAACCAAAACATGGCACAAGTCCATGAAGTCACTGACAAATGAACTGAGTCATGTTGGTAGGTGTAGACTACCTGGTTGGGGACCGCGAGATGACAGCAACCGATGGTTAGAGACCCTGAATGACATGGCTCAAAATCGTTTGCAATGGCGCAGGTGCATTTACTCTCTGTGTTCTCTCAAATTCTAATCTTCTGAATTCTTCATGTCCCTTTTTTCCTCTTTCCAAATTTCTTTCACTGTATTATACTCTTTAAATAACATCTCCAAACCCTAATCTTCCCGATTACTGCTTATACTCTTATTACCTCTATCACTACGGGATTTGAATCGACAAGTGCATCTCTGTGCTAATGTGGTGTGGCAACTCGAACTGATGTACGTACGTACGAAGTTCTACGTTGTTACTGACTGACTGACTCTTACCGGCTATGTTTCACTGCCATAAAGTAGGACGGAACGAACTGCTGCGCAGTAAACACGTCCTTGGGTTGATAGACGGATATCTCGCCTACGCCATAAATGATGCAAGTTGGCAAAAGCTAGTCGAGCCTGCTGTATCCGCGCTGAGATTTCGTCACACACTAAACCACAAGGGCTGATGAGACTTCCAAGATAAGTGAAGCGGTCGACACACTCAACTACTTCACTCCCTATCACTAGTTCGGGTGTCGATGTAACCCAATCTTGAAGTAACATTTTGCATTTCAAGGGAGAGAATCGCATCCCGAACATGCTTGCATTGTTGCTTAGAGTGGTTAGAAGACTCTGCATTTTGTCAGCGTCTTCACCAAATAAAACTATGTCATCTGCATATTCTAAGTCAACAAGTGAACCTTCCGGTAGAAGTTCAACCCCTGGAAATTTAGATGAGGAAAATGTTGTCTCTAAAAGCACGTCAATGACAAAATTAAACAAGAATGGAGAGAGTGAACAGCCCTGACGAACATCACTTGAGGTAATCAATTCTAATGACAGTTCGCCATAAGCTCTCACTCGACCAGTTGTGTTCGAGTAGAGAGCCTGTAATTTATACAGTTTTGTATAAATTACTTAGATCTTATTGACATCAAATCAAATTGGGATAGATAGTAAAACAATTCACAAGATTTATATATATATGCCCCCAAGTGCCCTGGTACGGCCGACGGTGGGGGAGTCCGATCTCCCTCGAAATGCTTTCACATGGCCATGCATACATAGCCACTGATAAGGAAGTTCTACTCACTGCCTTCTCGCTGTGAGTGTCGGTTAACGAAGTTGTGAAAACAAATAGCGAATGTCCGGCGCTTTAGCCGGGTTTGTGGGTATGAAGGATCCACCTAAAGGAGTTGGTAAACCATGATTCCAAACCACTGGTACACATGGGCTCCAGGATCCTGAGGAAACGAATGGCGTATGAACCTATTGTTGGTCACTGGCTACTATTGGACTGCATCTCCTAGAGGTGTTCCACTGCTTTGTGGATTAGGTCTCTAGGCCGAAGGCTAATGGAGTGACCCCCTAAGGAAACCACTTGCTTCGGTTTGGACGCTAGGGCAGGATGTCAGGGCTTACACAAATTAGGTGATGAAGTGCGGTGTACATATATTAGTTGCCTTGTACCAATATTTATGTGTTCAAATAAATAAGTTTCTTACAACCTCAATTTTGTCATCACTCAGAATAGCAGTTTGTACCATAAGCCCTATTTTCGTGTAGGGCAGTAGACTTGTTCAACTCTATGCCATAGAAGTTTTATAACAGCTTCACTTAAGGAATATTGATAAAAAAACATCAACCAAAATTATATTGTGGATATAGAGCTTATCCATTTCTTCTTCTTATAAAGCCTTCTCAACAGGATTCGTTTTACAACGAAATAGATCATTATTGACCAGGTCAATATCCAATTTCGTCTAGGTACTTCAACTCAATGTATGGTTTACACATACACAGTTATTCCTATGCTTAAATTTTCAGTAATTATAATTCTTTATTTAATATCATTTTTAAATTCAATAAATTTTAATTTTAATTAATTTTTTAGTTAATTAACTTTCATTTTAAATCGACCATTGAAAAAGAACATACTGTACCAACTAATGCTTTAGTTAAAGTACTCAATGGTTTACAATTACACAATTGTTTTGGTAATATATCTACTTCAGGTGATACAGATGGTGATACACCACCATGTTTACATACTAATCATGTTGATAATTTATGCTCATATCAAAAATCGGATCATAATATCTGGGTTATATGTACTAGTTTATTATACGGTGTTAATAGTAAAGATAATAATCATTGTAATAATTTTCTTTATCAAATGCCAAATGAATTATATACACTTATTGAACGTTGTGTTCATGAATCGGGAATTGGTGTAAGACGTCAATTAATTGAAAAAGCTCGTCATTTAATCAAACAAAATATTTGACATGTTAATTTGTCTCTTCAATTTATTTAGTTTATATAAAATTAAGTCATTCACCGCGCGTGTGTGTGTGTTTGATTGTTTTTTATTCATTTATTTAGTTACTAGGTGGTAGACGAGTTGTTTAGTGCATTTTTTAAAATAAAAAACGTAACTAATTATTTTTGCATTTTAAACTAATTGGCCTATTTTAGTCTGTTTTTTTCCTTATCATATTTACGATTAGTTTGTTTAATCTCTTTTTTTTCTGGCTGTGATAATCAGTTTAATCATTCCCCCCTCTTTCTTTTACACAATTCTTAAAGTTTTTATAAAATGGAATTATATTTTTATTCCTAAATGTTTTGTGGTTTTGATAGTTGTTTGATATTTTATTGTAAAATGTTTTATTCATATCAGTACGTTAAAAATGTTTGGATTTGAGATTTAGCTTTTGTGATGATTGAGACTTGTCAACAAGATGTGTACCTGTAATCGTGAAAGAACTGATACTTTTGTGATGTATTTGAGCCAGGATCACTTAGCTTTACGCTATACTTCTGGGTTATTTGAGCAGTGACGAACTTCCTATAAAGTTGAAATATTTTCGACTGACTGATTACTATCTATTCAGTTGTAGATCTCCATGTTTAATTTATAAGTATTTTCCGTTATCCTAATACTATCAAAGTCAACATAGAAATCTGGGAGGTTGATATCAAGAAGTATTGTATGCGTATTCATGTTGTTTACGTTGATCCTGTTTCAATTTCCCAATATCATTATATGAATTATCCTAATCGCTGTAAACGAGTAGTAGCTAGGTTACTTTAGCTTTGGTTAGATCCGAGTTAGCCAAACCGTGATTCATCATTTGCTCCTACACTACAGTTAATCAGTCATAATCAACATTAAGCCTAGCATAAATATATGTTAACCCAGGTCACTAGATTATCAAGATGAGTAATAAAGCAGTCGAAATAATCATAATAGCAATGATAATGAGAAAGACTGAACATTGAGAATATGATTAGGGAAGACTTAGTAAAAAAATATGTATGAATGAATACTAAGATTCAAGTGTAAGGTAAATATCAATTGAAGTTGTCTACTGTGACTGATTCTGAATGAAGATTCAATGTTTGAATCTGCTGATGGCATGGGGTCCAACCACCTGTGTGATTCGTCATTTCACTTAGAATTATCCATTACCGAGTCCACAAGTCACATAATCTTAAGTTATTTAAGCAGTTCGCCACTTTATATTGTAATTCTCAAAAATCATGTTTGGAAATAAACTTTGTTACTTCAGGAACGTAACTACTCTCATTTCCCGGCATCAACACACAAGCAATCTCACTGTTCAGCAATACAGATTTTATCGCTTAATAAACTGACTTGAGTATTCATAGGTTTCAAACTTGATCTTTATACGAAGCACACTGACCAATAGCTGACAATTGTGTGAATGAATATTTCACATATTCAACACTAATAGAGGATAATTTACACAATATTTGAAAACTAGTTCTCATAAGCAAAATTCTAATTAATAAACATATAAAAAATTTGGGTCGATAATATTCATCATAAAAACGAGATCGCTTCAGCCAGTCATTTCCTTTTCAGTGTATTTATTCTGAAGTATGTACATATATGCTTCTTTTACTACAGAGAAGACCGATGGTATGTATTTTAAATACTGATTTACTTAGTAACAAAAATCAAGGAGAAATGTTATTTTTATTAATAAACTAGATACATAGCTGTTGAGGCTTTGAATATTTATCAACAATGCTATATATATTAGAAAAAGAATAATGATAAAATCAGGTTGCCTAACAATATGATAAAATGTTGAAATTAAAGAAATGTAATCAGAAATGGTTTGGGTAACAAATCAACAGAACATTAGAAGAACAGGGTACTGACTTTGGGAAATTAGCTGGACAAAATTATTCTTTTATGGGTACGTCCAGCTTTTTTAAATGTACGGTAATGACTAGCGATGTTAAGTAACAGTAATAATAATCATACGGTCCAGATTTGTCTATTCACATTTAGGGATCCAAAAGCGGAACTAGAAATAGGGTCACAAGATGTAGATCTTGTTCACATAGGTTGAGGATTAATCAAATTTGATTGTAGGAGATCACCGTTCGGATTTCATCAACCGGGGTCAATCTATGAAGAAAACCATCTCGAAATCTAAGGATGTTTCTTATTTGATTCAGATCCAGATTTGTGTACTGAGGACAGAAGGCCTACGGCCTGTGTCAGTCCTATTTTAGTAACCTTTTGAGATTGACTGGTCTACTCTTGAATGAGTCATTTCAAGGGGTGGACGCCACTTCTTCGGATAACAGGTTCCGAGAATTGATCACTCGAGATGGAAACCTGTATGCCACGGGCATCTTGTTCAATCTTGGCATGTCCCCTAAGTTTTCCTGATGTAGTAGGAAGAAAAGGAGGTTATATCTGGTCCAAAATCATTTCTTAGTATTCTATACGTCAAAGTCAGATCACCTCTTAATCTGTGGTAGGACAGGGTAAAGAGGTCTAGCTTCTCAACTCACTCTTTGTATCGTAAACCCAGGAGTTCTGGAATTGCACGGGTAGCTGCCCTCTGTACGTTTTCCGAGGTTTCAATGTCATACAAACAAAGGCTTGCAGTCCGAGCGCAATTTTCAAGTTTGGATCTAAGGCTGTGTATACTGTAGTAAACACATTGCTATCTTACTTGGTCAATGTCCATCTTAGAGGCCATAGGGTTCTAAATCCTTTAGTTGCGACTTCGTGGCAGTGGGCTGAGGTTTTAAGATCATGGCCTACTGTCATTCCAAGATCCTTATCAAACCGGACTGCGGGTACAGGCATTTCCTCAATGCTGTACCTGCTTCCCTTTGTATCCCCGAAATACATATATATATACTTGGCCCCGTCGATAGGCATCAGACAACTATACTTTGAATTTCATTTGCATACAGTATAAAAATTAAAGAACCTAGGGCAGAGGCTTATGGTGCTCCAATAAGTACTGGTTCCCGATAGAAGTATTTGGGGTTTATTCTTACTTTCTGTCTACAATCTACTAAGAAATCCCTGATACACTTTAGGTGAGGTCCGGTAGTTCCTAAATTTTTCAGCCTCAAGAATAGTATATTCTCCGGCACCTTATTAAATGCTTTGCTGAAGTCTGTAGACTCTGTATTTGCGTCTAGTCCTTCGTCGAAAAGAGGCTCCTGAGTGAAAACTGTCCCGAAAAAGTCCGCCCATGGACTCTGCTTTGTCTTCCTCCATCATTTGAGATCCACTCCCTTCAGCAATTAAGTTGGGAATCTAATGATGCGTTCTTGTTCTGTAATTTATGTGCGAGAATAATCTTGTCGGCTGCTTGGTTGCAGATGGGGTCAACCGTTTTCTATATTTTCGCTGAGCTGCCCTCATTGTACTTATACACTTAATTCGGACCGGTTTTTACCGTTCCGTCGTATTTGTTGATCCAGGGCTGATGATGACGTCCCGAAATTTCTTTCGTCTTAGTGACTGTCGAATAACAGGTGTTTATATTCTGGTTTCGTTGAGTGTAGACTGCTTGTAACCGTGTTGAATAAAGTATTACTAGCCTTATAATTTGGTTCTCTATTTTTGGTGGTGAATTATGTACCTGGTATAAAGTGATTTGGGCTATGTATCGCATATCAATCGAGGATCTAGGCCAGAAGTAGTAAAATCTCAGTCACCGGTAGTAGTATTATAGAAGCATAACTAGGAAAACAGATAATATTTTTATTCTCCCGTTATATTAAGATCTACGGATCCGGATTCAATCACATGTGGGGTCGTTGGTACCCGCTACCCATGGGACTAATATTAAGTCGAAACAGCTTCCTTTGTATTACTCAGTGGTAATTAGTAGTTAATTCACTTTTAGTCATTTGTGAATGTATGATACCATAACTCGTGTATCACTTAAGCATTTACGTAAATTCGTATGTATATATAGATGGGACATGACTAGCAATGGAATCCAGGATGCGCGTTTCACTCTAATTAAAACTCGTCAACTGGATTTTGATTTCAGGTTTTCCACTGATTTGTACTTTTCTTAAGTGACAGTATCCCCATTTTGTGTTCTTACTCTCCATTTTGATTGATGACAGTTACTGTTGACTTTAGACATAGTTGCTAGCTGTTATTTCACAATTGTTGTTATAACTTGTGGTCTGTGTGCCCCGTTAATGTATAACGTAATGATACCGCCAATTAGAGAACAGTAATTTATCGATCGGACCAATGACGCATAAGACACGTACGAGCAGCCTAGAGTCCTTATCGGTCCTGCTTCCCACTTATCACAGCCCGTTAAGTTCAGAACACCAATCTCGGCCTCTGCGATATGAATCATTTATTTCAAACATGCTCAGTTCATATACCAACCAGACAGAAACATCGTACCATAAAATACGAAACAACATTTGTACAAGATTTAGCCAAATGTGGCTGTGAATGTCGGAGGTAGTAATCGATAGACAGGGCATAACTCAAGAATGGTAAATAGTATAATAACAGTTCATAGGTCAAAATAAAGCTTATGATAAGAGGAACACGAATATGAATAGTTTAGTTATTTAACAATTGTACGATAAAAATATACGCATAACACTGGTCCATAAATGGGTCTCCAAAGTTACCACTCATTATTCTCATCGGGATATAACAATTGTATACTACAAATGATCTTTGTATTATCATTTCAGGAAGTAATATTTCCCCCCAAATAAACTTACTCGCTAGACATCTTAAACACTTCACAGACTAACGTCTGGAATTATTTTGAGTTTATTCCGGTAATAGTAATACTTCCTTTTAGATAAATTCTTTGTTTTTTATTCTAAATTTTGTGCATGATTTAGTAGTTTTTAAACGTCTCGATTGAGTCAAAAACCTTTTAATTATGAAAGCGAGTACGTTTGCTATCTCTAATACATAACATCTCATGGAAAGACGGAATATCAGAAATCAAAGCCAGGTCTAAGACTACGAAATATTAGTGTTTAAAGAAGATAATGCTTCATATATTCATATTTAAATAAAGTGGAAATACATTGAGATCATGAACCGACCA